TAAAAATTGGGTAATCATCCTTGAGATAAGCACTCAAAATACACTTTGGTCAGAAAAATCATCAAAATTAAATACTAATGCGTAAATACAAAACAATTTATTTAAAAATAATTAGATTAATTTAATTTATTCAATTAATTAATTAATTAAATTTGTTTACCAATTTTTATATTTAAAACTATACGTTTAACTTAACCTTTAGTTAATTGCATGTGAAAATACATATATAAGTTGTTAAACAAAATAACTTAGAACTGTGGCTACCCCGCGAGATTAATTAAAATTTAAATTTTTTAACAATTTTTAATTAAAAGTTTAAATTTCTCTTTAAATATGCTTTACGCACACAATGATATTTTAACATCAATATTCTACATTAAAAAAATTAACACTGTTAAAACTGTAATTCAACATTTTTAGAAATTATTAATAACACAAATATAAAAATAAAAGTCTTTTTTTATCAATATTTTGTCAATACTGTATTATAATTAACTGTTGGAATATAGTTTTCTAATTTATAAAATAAACCAAAAATAAAATAATTAAATTAATTGTTTTAATAATTAAGTGTACTAGTTCGCAAATACATGGGTTAAATACAACTAACTTGGTTTTTATATAAACTTTTTATTGTTCGACGCTATTTTTAAAAAATTACCTTTGCCTCAATTGTAACACTTCTTTTATAACATTGATAACGATCCGATCTTGATTTTTATATCAACTTTTTATATTATTTGCCGCTACTTTTAAAAAAATTACCTTTGCCTCTATTGTAACACTTCTTTTGTAACATTGATAATGATCTGATCAACGTCGAAAGTCGGGATTTACTTAAAAAACGTATTTATTCTTTACATCTCCCACAGAGAGTCTACATTAGACGAGTGCTTCGCTAAGACTGACCAGTGTTGTCAAAATTTTTCATCAAATTTCTGTCTAAAAAATCTCCAGATTACGACATTTTTCACCAAATTTTTTTAAATTTATGTAAATTTAAATGAAAAATCAATTTTAATAATGGTTTAAAATGTTTTAATAAACATGTAAATATTAAGGATCATTTCAATCAACTTCGATTAAGTTTTAATTGATGATTATTTCGATTGAGTTAATATAAACAAAATTAATATATATAATCAGAACACAGACCTTATATGATGATCATAAAACCTTGTGTTCGTGATATTAAAAATTGATCTGAGATATTGGATGAAGGAGAGAATTGACCGATTATAACAATTTTGATTTGAACAATTCAGCTAATTGATTAATGCGATTGTCTTTCCGTCCGAAATCTCAGATCGATTTCTAGCATCGTAAACACAAGGTTTTATAAATAAATAAACAAAATACATCATTTGTATATATAGGTACATATACCGGGTGAGGCAATAACTTTGTCCACCTTGAATATCTCCGCTTTTTTTAGAGATGTGAAAATATTGTAATTACAAAAGTACGGTATTAAGAGGATTGTAATATATCAGGTGTGTAAATATGAAACCGGAATTTACCATTAGACGGCCATAGCTGTCAATGTAGTTGCTGTCAGACCGCGTCATTGACGCCATTTTCTTGTTCTGACATCTGACAAAGATTTCCAACCCACAACAATACAAGTTTCATACAACAGTATAGTTTTTAATAGCGTTGAACATGTTGAATTTTGTGCCTGGAAACTACGATATTCGCGGACAGCAATTGATTTTCCGTTACCATTTGAAGAAAACTGCTGCAGAATCGCATCGAATGCTTGTCGAAGCTTACGGTGAGCATGCTCTTGGTAAATCACAGTGCTTTTATTGGTTAAAAAAATTTTAAAGTGGCGATTTTGACGTGAGAAACGAAAAACGTGGAAAACGTCGAAATCTGCTAAAACCTGTTAAAACCTGGCGAAATCGTTAATACTGAACGTTATCGACAACAAATGATCAATTTGAGTCAAGCTTTGCGTGAAAAACGACCGGAATATCAAAAAAGCCAAACTAAAGTGATTTTGCTTCATGATAATGCACCATCACACACAGCAAAACAGGTCAAAGAAACGATTGAGACGTTTGATGGGGAAATACTTTCGCATGCCGCTTATTCACCAGACTTGGCTCCGTCCGATTACTATTTATTTGCATCGATGGGACACGCACTTGCTCAGCAGTGCTTCACTTTTTACAAAGATGTACGATAATGGCTAGATGACTGGTTTGGCTCAAAAGAGCAACAATTTTTTTGGCGTGGCATCCACAAATTGTCAGCCAGGTGGGAAAAATGTATAGCTAGCGATGGGCAATACTTCGAATAAAATATTTTTTGTCATTTTCAAGCAATAAACGTGTCTTTTCTATAAAACAATTCCGGTTTCATATTTACATACCTGATATGCTGGTTATAATTTTTTTAGGTGGAGGCGCTTCGAAGATTTCGAGGTCAACTTCATTTTTTTAAATGGAATTATATGAATTTTTTTTCACTATATGATTCCTCTAATTATTCTGTACATAAATGTATCAAAGTAGAGATATAAAAAAACCAATAGTTTACGAGATATTTTACATATTCTTTTGGTGCATATTGACATAAAAAGTTTAATAACTCGTGAACTATTGACTTTTTGATAATCGTACCTTAATGCTTTTGTAAACAGTATAATGAGATGAATCAATTGGTGTAAAGAAAACACATAATTGCTATAAAAAAATATGTATGCAAAATGGATAATTTTGAAATAAGCAACTATGTGTTTTCTTCACACCAATTGATTCATCTCATTATACTGTTTATAAAGGCATTAAGGTACGATTATCAAAAAGTCAATAGTTCACGAGTTATTTTAAAAACTTTTTATGTCAATATATATATGCACCAAAAGAATGTGTAAAAAATATCTCGTAAACTATTGATTTTTTTATATCTCTACCTTGATACTTTTATGTACAGAATAATTAGAGGAATCATATAGTGGAAAAAAATTCATATAATTCCATTTAAAAAAATGAAGTTGACCTCAAAATCTCCGAAGCACCTCCAGCTTAAAAAAAATTATAACCAGCATGTATTATAGTTCTCTTAATACCGTACAACTTTTGTAATTACAATATTTTCATACCTCTAAAAATAGCATAGATATTCAAGGTAGACAAAGTTATTGCCCCACCTGGTATATACACATATAAATATATATTTTTTAAGAACTATATCCTATGTAGATTATGTATATACATCTTTTTTTCTCGGTAGTATCGTGATCATATTTTCACCAAAAAGAGGAAAATAATCACCAAATCATCAAAAGATATTAAAAATCCCCAATCTAGTGAAAAATCACTAACAAACCCTGAGACTGACTATTGTCGGCGCCTGCCCGTTCCTGCAGGACGCCTCGCAGAACGCTTGCGATTCGCGGGTCGCGTGTATTAATATACGAGGTTTTTCCATTGGCCATGCTATGTGCGGGAATCAAGACCCGCATAAATTATAAAGCCCGATCTACAATTGCGTAAACGTAATTGTAAGTGATTGTAGTTGTAAGAATTGACCAATAACAGTCGAATATTCTCCTCGTATACAACTGTGATTAGTCAATTCTTACAAGTACAACTACGTTTACACAATTGTAGATCGGGTTTAAGACTCTAAATAACTAAAAATCTTACATTATATAGGTAAATAAAACATTTTAACATTCACAAATGATACCTATAAGTCGTTCAAATCATAAATATGATTAAAATAATAAAAATATATGATTTTATAATACACCAATATGCAAGACTAATAACATTTTTCATTGGTAAAACTAATGCACACTCAGTGCACATTAAATCCGTTATACATTACTCTAATTTGAATATTAAAGTAAAATATCTCAATTGATAAAATGCTCACTGTGTAATTTATCAGATAACATAATAAAATGTATTGAAGATTTCGCAATTTGACTCATACATTTCTATACTTTTATTAAAGATATACCTCTGCGTCGATTTGTGTATATGTACAATAACATTAAAGGCGCTGAGTGCGCACTAGCTCTGCCAATAAAAATGCTATGATACGACGGATAAACTGATACGATAAAAATAATATATAATTCTTCACTCTAATAAAAATTTTTGTCAGAATTTTCATACATATGAGTTCTAAATATTTTAACATTTCTAAAATTTCTTATTTCTAATAAAATTTCTGTAATTTCTAATGAAAGAAAGTTGAAAAAATTTATTTTCTAATATTTTTATTAAACTTCTATTAAACTAGTAATCAATTATAAGAAGGAAGGATAATATTTTACGCAGAATTAACTCGTAATAACATGCAATTTTTAGAAAATATCTTCTCTTGAATTGAGAGTAATATGGAATTATCTAAAAATATTATAGATGTAAATATACATATATTGTATTACGCTTCAACATTGTATTCTCTTTCTATATAATAGAGCACAAATAATTAACAAGATCAATATAGAGAATGGGCAGTCACTTATTATGTCTATGAAAAATACTTTCTCTTAGTTTCAAGAAATAACATTAAATTAATGTATACACGTATTACTCCAAGCTTGATCGGAATTTTCTTATAATAAATGGACATCAAAGATCGCAAAACCGCAAAAAGTATAAAAAGTACTACATTATTACATTCATTTGCAATATATCTTCTTTAAAATGTAAATAGATTTCAATTATAATTTAATTGCTATCATTTGTGCGCAAATTATTTCCACTGATACACCTTCTGTATTTTTTCATATGACGTTTCAGCTACGATTATACCATCGACTCGGGAGGAACTTGAACGAATCACCATTGAGATGGGGAGTAACAAAACCACATAAACGAACAAAGCATCCACATTCTCCTTTTCTTCTTCACGAGGATGCTAGTTAAAGCGCGACGGAATGTGCGTAACCTACGACATGCTCATGGAGGTGTTCGATTGTAAGAGATATAAGGCCCCGTGATGGCGGTGCGGCCTCAGTTTGTCGACTGGTGCCTTGCGGAAGAGGTACTCACATCCGCACATTCTCGTGCCTCGATCTAATTAATCTTCCTTTTTGCTCTTCCTAATTTTCTTTTCGGATACGTTGTGGTACATGGTCACATTTGCTAATTCAATCCCATCTTTACAGTGAAACTTCTGTACGCGCTTGTTTCGCACCGGGAGGATTTCATAACGACAGAAGCACGCGAAGAGTAGCACAGTAAGTATTAGCATAATTTTACGTGCGTTGCGTGCAAATTGTTGTTATCATTGAGTAGTTATGCAATTCTTTATCTATAAAGACAATTCAATTAGATCTAAGTTAGAAAATTGTTAGTTTGTAATTTAATAATTTGCTAAAATACCTAAAAATTTAACTGAATACAGATCTGAAAATAATTTTGTTGTACCATCAAAGTTATAGAAAGTTCAAGCATCGAGCAATGCAAAAAAGTTTGACATTCTAGCAACTAGATTAAGCAACCTGCATAATTATTTGATTACCCAACAAAATTATTTTCAGATCTGTACCTAATTAAATTTTTAGTCACTTTAGAAAAACCCTATTCTTTTCATATATTAATATATTCCTCATAACATATGGTCTTGACTATTATCTTTTTATATTTATAAATTGTAAAAATATACTTGATGACTTTTTTTTAACAAAGTTTTAATATCTTAGTACTGATATGAAATAAAAGAAATGCATATGCGCGATATTACGTTTTGATTCATCATATTTTGAGTTATGCAGATAGTAAATTACTCTTGAATATGTTATTAATATATTGAGTGTATGTGTATACAAATGTTGTAAAGATTTTCAACTCTGTGATAAACTGTTTCTGTTTTATTTGCATTTTTACTTATATAATAGGCGTAATAAAAAGTAAATTAAACATAATGATAATTATTCATACAGGATACTTTATATTCAAAATACGCTTTAGAACGTTTTTAGTATACATAGAGAAATTCTTTGAATGTTTTTAGAACTTTAAAACAATTATTTCAATTTATATATGTAAAAAAAGATATTTATGTTTTATTAATAAAATTAATTTAAAGCACTTATATAAAAAAATCATGTTTTAAAAATAAATACAATTTATATTGAACAAAATGATACACTGTAAAAACTTCGCATTTGCAATGTAAAATATGTGGAAACGTCGTAATTTATGAAACAATTTGGCATTTCCGTAAAGCCTTAGATTTTATCAGTGTAAATCTATTTATGTTAGATAAATATATTACATACAACATGTAGATATGTATAATAGATTATATACGCGTGCAAAAAATTAAATACCGATATTATATGTATATAAAAATATGATTTTTAACTGAATCGCGTACAGTTAAAAATAAGTAACAAAAACAAAAAGTAAGCGTGTTACTCAGAAATATTTGACTTTGTGTGTTCAATATTATATCATTATTCATGTCAAACAGAACGTGGCTACGTAATCCATGTGTTTATAGAAATTGTTTAAAAAAAAACGAGGGAAATAGGGTGCGAAGATACAAAATTCTAGATATATCAGATGAGTAGGGCAAAGGTCCGTTATACTTAATCTAATAACCAAATCATATTAAAGAATTAATCAACTTATTAATTAAGTATACTTATTGTTAGTATTTAATACTTATTGAACAATAAATCATCTGATTAAAAATAGTGGTCAAAATAACCAATAGAAAAATTATCGGCATTTGGTTTAGATTAAAGAATTGCGCTACTTTGGTATATCTAGAGCTCAAGTAAAGACGGTCTCTGTCTCTTTCTATTCAATGATATAATGTTGTTAGAAAAAAAAAGGAAATTAGTCATCTTCATACTCTATCTCTCCCTCTTATTTTGTTGACTACATTATATATGTATACTATTTAGATATATACATAGATGACGCAATTCATGCTATATGATTCATATTAATAATGTTGATCCTTAATTTTATTCTAATATAATCAATGTCCTAAAAATTTAATTCATAATATTGACATTACTTAATTAATTTCCACTTATTTGTTGGCATGTGAGACTGACAATGCTTCACTTTATTGTTTTGACACTCGTTTTATCTATCCTCGAAGATTTGTATTTCCTTCATTCTTTAAATTAATCAATCCTAGACATTGTGTTTTATTTCTCGACTCAACACAATGGATCTTATTATCATATTATCAATTATATCATTATTTTATGCTAAAACAATGCAATGGTTATATTTGACACTACACTATGTCAATAATTAAATTGACACGATATAGTGTCAAATTTAATTATCATTTTAGTATAAAATAACGATATATTTAGTGGGAGCAGTAGCGATTTATGTTAGATTAAATTTAACACTATATAGATTTAACAGTTTATTTAACAAACAAGTTGTTATAATCTCTTTACTTTTTTCTATTTTAATATTTATTTTGACTGAAGATGATTAATAATAAATAAAATAAAAAACCGTGTAAGTATTAATTTCAATTTTTATTATGTATGCTTAAATAAACTAATTTTTCAAAATTAATCAACTTATTGTTAGATAAGTTTCGACTTTATTCGTGTCAAAATTTTTACATGCATTATTATATACATATATCAATCATTTAAGGTAGAAAAAAGTAATTATAATCATCAAGAGACATTTAATTATGAGTAACATTTACATATATTTTAAACTGTAAAAAAATGTTTTGTTTGTCTACATTCTTATTTTTTGTATTGTAAGATAAATATCAATGTTATCCTTAATTAAATGCCTCTTTTAATGTGATTTTAATTACTTTTTTCTATCTTATGCTGGGTTCAGATTCCTTTCTGAGTGTCACTCAGATATCACTCCATCTAATACTTGTTTCCTACGTTAAACAAGAATGAATGACTCAGGAAATCCCGGTAAATAATTTTTCATGCATAAATATATATAAATCACAATAGAACAATTCAAGGGCCAAGAGCCAGTTATGTAACAAAGATCGTTTAATTTAAAGCATAAAAATAAAAATGATTACAAAATGGATCGACGTCACACCTTGGGTTGAGATAATTGGAATTTGTACTGAAATCAGTGGTAACTTCAAAATAAAAATTACAATTTATCGTTAGCTTTTTGTACCAGACGTACAGATGTACCAGAATCTGGCAGTTTTGTACCAGGGTCCGGTACATCTGGGAAAAAGCTAACGATAAATCGTAATTTTAATTTGAAGTTGCCACTGATTTCAGTACAAGTTTTAACTATCTCAACCCAAGGTGTGACGTCGATCCATTTCGTAATCATTTTTATTTTAATGTTTTAAATTAAACGATCTTTGTTATATAGCTAATTCTTGGCCCTTAAATTGTTCTATTGTATTTTATACTTATAGAGCTTTATTATTATTTATTATTTTTATATATAAATATATATAAAAGTACATAAATGTGTATAAATATTTATAAATGTATATATTTATATATACTGTATAAATATTTATAGATGTATATATTTATATATAAAATATGTTTATACATATTCATATAGCCTTCTGTTTTTCAAAAAATTACTGTTTAGTGTAATAAAAATAATAATAATACAAAAACGTAAAAAATAATTAAAGACACAATTTTTACATTGCTTACTTTAGAAAAAAGATTAAGTTTAGAGAAACATAAAAAATTGGTCATATATAAATAATTATATATAATTTTATTAATATAATTACATATCAATAATTTTTTTACATTTCTCCAAACTTGATTTCTTCTATCACAAATAATACGAAAATTATCTTTTAATTATTTTTAATGTCTTTTTATTATTATTACTATTTTTATTACACTAAAAAGTAATTTTATAAAGATAGAAGGATGTAGGGACATATTTCATATACAATTATATATAATTATATATGTTTATGTATAGGGTTTATACATATTTATACAATATATATTCATGCATGAATAATTTTTTACCGGAATACTCAGATGGAAATCCAAACACGCCCCTTAAGCCCAATTTCACAATTCATATTTAACTTACCTCTCGTTTTAATTCTAGAATTAAAAAGAAATGAGAAATAAGTTGTTAACCTCGGTTAAGAATTAATTATAAGTTGTGAAAATGGGCCTAAACAATTGTTATATATTGTTATACTATTTATTAAAGTATTAAAAAATTTAACTGAAGCTGAAATATTTATTAACTATATATTTATTAATTGCATACTTATTAACTGTATTTAATTAAAATACATATAATTATAATTAATAATTATATTTAATTAAATACATAGATATAATTATTTGAAAATTGTACTTAATTATTTTAGATATTATACACCCAAAATTTCTTTTAAATCAAATTTTTGATATAGATACTTTAAGGCTTTCTCAGAAAAGTATGATTTTTTTCACACACACGCACACACACACAATAGATACTTTCTAATACATATTTTCTAATAAAAAAAATTATTTTTGAAGTTTCAACACATACACAAAACACGTATTATACACAATTATATGAATAAATTATATATGTTTCGAAAAGAATAAAATAAGGTTTAGAAAGAATGGAGAGAGAGAATAATTAAATTATTATTTAGTTAATTTTAATACTGCTAAAAATTCGTATTATTGATTAATTACTGCTAAAATTTAAATATATTTAAATTTCTTTTATTTCAAGATTGACTTTTGATCTCGAAAAGATCGTACTTTGTTCTAAATGCAAACAGAACTTGTTCGTCCTTCATTGACTTTTTCTGTTCAAGTTATTAACACACTTGAGAAAATATTTTTCTTCGTTCCTTAAGGTCAAGCAAATTCCTTTGCTCGGGCATAAAAAAAACGTCATATATAATTAAAGCAAATTAAAGTAAGTGTGTCCGCTCGGACGCACATGCAAGCACACGTCCATGTTATGCGACATTATTGAGGGCACATGCCGTAAGAACTGCTCAAAGGCGTCGCAGCTCACTTTCGTTATCAACTAAATGCGAGAGGATGCACCTGACTCGTCAAGTAAATGACAGTCTTAAGAAAGCGCTACGATCAGATCCAAATTGCATCACATCGAGCGCGAAGCTTTAAATCACAAAGCCGTTATTTCTTTTCTTTCGCACGTCAATTAAAGTTCTCGTCATTATTTGAAAATAAACACCGAGGAATTTTATTGAGATGCGAGTTCGATAAAATGTTAACTCTTCGGCATGAATGACGGAGAAGAAAATCCCCGACCGCGAGCATGTGTGTGGTACAAAAAGGATGCAGTTGTGGCATTGATGACGATGTCACGGAAATTCCACGCTGATTACCGTATTTTTCAAAATAATTTACGAATGTATGTCGAAATATGTCTGCAAATTCTATGTTACGCATCTTGCCAACTCACGATAACAGAAATTATTCATATAATCGAACAAATGGTTTTAGAATACACATAATTACCCAGAAAATTGGTAGTAACTATAGATCATTGATCGTGGAGAGCGTTCCGAGGTTTTGTGAATCAAAGTATTTTACGACAAACGAGTCTAACGGTAGTAACCGTATTTCTTAAAGCAGTGATCACTTATTATACAACTTAAGGGCAATCTATAATCAAGGAAATTCGTTAATATTATACTCGCGAAGAAAGTGAGATCGTAAGTTGCAAGAAAATCATTCTATATCGTGAGATGTGATTAAACTCTTATAGTATCTGATTGCTTTAATGCATGTACTACGACTTTGTGTAACACACACACACACACACACACACACACACACACATCCCTTCGGTAATATACTTTTACAAGATATAAAAAAGGAGAAAAATCATCTGTGCACTTGTAATTGATTACAGTTAATATTCAAGAAAAGAAAAGGCAGTTTAGTTCTCGACAGAGAATCAATTAAGAGCAGATGTACTCTCTAGTCTAGGAATGTATGTACACATGTGCTTGAAACAACCTAAGTATATAACTCGGAATATCTAAGTTTCTTTTTCACAGTTATCAACACGTGTCGGATGTCGGCGTATATATTTAACTGAAATATATATATGATATATATACTTAAATTAAATAATCACTACGAATTAGACACGTTTAGTCAAGTTAATAACCTTTTATCTCAGTATAAAGGTTATTCATTTTAAAAACTGCGTTTGAGATTAATCGCTGCGTTGCTGCAGGTGCAAATCAGCTCTTATTAACGCGCGGAGTAGAGAAGCGGACGGGATTACAAGACGAGTATCGTACGACTGCAAACGCGTGTGAGGGACCGCATTTTTTCGCGGTGAGAACGAGTTCTTAGTCGCATGTAGTCTTTAACGAGACGGCCACTTTTCCTTTCTGCAACAAGCGCGCGAGTTGCGAAATTAACGCGCGGGCTTGAGCGACTCACACGGTGTCGCCGTTCATCGTTTTTCGTCAAGATAATGGATTTTGTTTTTGTGGAAGTCGCGTATCGCGAAATCAGAAGGCAGATATCGTTTCCGCGCCTTCATTAGAAAATTAGGACGGTGATCTAAGAGAAGAGCAACGCCAAATTGAGAATGCGAGACTAAGAAAAGGAAATACGCTATTTATAAAATGTGACGAATCGATCATTACAAAGGTTACCAAATCGATCGATTTCGAAATAAATGCACCAGCAAATGCCAATCGCTCTGCACCGAATTGCTATAGATCATAAAGAACGTGAGTTTCCAGTTCATAAGTATATATTTGGCAATTTCCGTGTCCTTTTCTTACTCGATCTTGTTACAATGAAGTTGCAACAGTAACAAGAATTGTCTTTCTCAACGAGCATTGAATTTTTAGCATTATGGTTATAATTTGCCAGTCAAAGTTATTTCTTCATAGTAAGTAATTAGTTACAGTATTATAATAGTTGTTTCTTTATCAGAGAAATGACAAAGGTCTCTCTCTCTCTCTCTCATTTTCTCCAAAACTGATTTCTTATTAGGAATATTTCTTACTAAGAATAACAAAGATATTACTATATTATCATTTTTCAATTTTTTAATATAATAACATTCTTATGATTAAAAACCTGATAATGAAATATCATTTATTTAATTGAATCATGTTCACATTTAGAAAAAGAATCTTTATCTTCATCATCGCTAATTGCTAGAACTACTGACTTTTGATATTTTTATCAAAAAGAGATTTATTCAAATTTGTTCAAAGATTTTGTAATTAGTAGAATATTTATTTGACATACCGTGAAAAAAATATTACTAATATAATGCAAACAACCAATCAATACTTGTCATAATATTGCTACTACAGGTTCATATATGTTTAATGTCGGCTGTCAGCTTTTGTCATAGAAATGAAAATCAAATATTGACATATTTAATGCATCAAAGTGTCTGGTGAACATTGTACAACAATGATGACATGAAATAATTTATATGCAATATTCACAGAGCATATGCATAATTAAATGATATTATTCAATTATCACTTTGAAATATTATAACAACGATCGTGTATCGAAACAATAAGAACTGAGCACATATAAAACAAATTACCTTCATTTCTTATATAACAAAAAATGAAGGTAATGGAAAATTTTTAACCTCTATGAATTGTTTTTGCATATGCATTTCTTGTCTTCTTTCCGACGCAAATAGATTTCTTTTCATTTTATTTCTAGGATAAAATTTTTTGCAAAAATGATAAAATCTTCAATATTCCTTTCACACATAATTTATATCATCTATACTTCTGAACCGTTTGAATAGGAGAGTCACGTTTTTTTCACAAAATTTGTCTTCCCGCAACTACAATAAATTATAAAAGTCAAGCGAAATACAACGCCACCTTTGACGTCAGCATATTTTCTCAAGGCTGAAAAATAAGATCCGTATTGGCAAGAGTTAAGATTGCGGGGATAAGAGAGGAGAGCAGCGCAAAGCCACGAAGACGGGTTTCCGCACGCGTGGAAAAACCTCTGGTGCTTTTCCGATCTACTTTGATCAGTGAAAGGATCCATGGTTTAACCTTCCGAGGAGGGATGTGGCGATCCATAGAGATCGAAACTTCGTCGAGCATGCTGTAGATTGAGATCAAGTCGCGTGCCTCGAGATTCAAATCGAGAGTACGTCGAGATGTACAATCCATTCCGTTCTCATTGCGCATTTCACGACATATCTCGAAAACATAACACTTTACTAAATAACATCATAACAGTGTGCAATTAATTCTTATTGTAAATTTCGATTTACTGTTCTTTCTATGATAGAAAAGAACAACTAATTTTATCAGAATTTCGATCAAATGTTTCAAATGCAATTAATTTTAAACATTTCTTTTTCCAAGTATCTGTTTTTCAAAAATTATTAATGTTTATATTATTTTACATTATTAAGTGTAATTAATAAAAAATTTCAAAGAAAAAGCAATTAAAACCGTTGCGAACACACAAATACTCTCTTTCTTCTTTTTCTTTTTGATTTAATATAATTTAAAAAATTTGTAATATAAAATTAAATATATACAGTACGTTTCTTATACGTATTTGAATTTTTGCTTTAATTACTCGATTATAACTAGTTCCTTTAAAATTTAATGTTCAAAACATTTTAGTTTCTTGTTTAATTATCTATAGTAAACGGTAAACGTCATATTTGACAAAACGACTTATCGACGACTATCAATTATATAATGTAAAGAAATATATACAAATATTTTGTATATTTCCTAGTTTTGCAACATGCCTTACGCGCGTGTTACTTAAACCATACACTTAAATCGCATTGCTCAAGTAGTAAATACAGTCGTTTATCTCAAACGATATCTATAATAATCGACCGTATAGTTTCTTATATAATAACGTCAATTGAACTATAACAGCACTGTTTTCCTCTAACAAAGTATTAATTTTGTAACTAGACAGAATAATATAAAACGCATTATACCTTAATTACAAATGACTTTGTTGTAACAAAATTGAACTAATATAAATGACAAAAATGATACTTTGATTTTAGATGGCGCAATTAGTCCAAATGATTTACGATGGTTATCGAGACTTAATGGACAACAAAAGTGATCCGAGAGTCAACGATTGGCCGATGATGAGCGGCCCGTTCTCCACATTAGCAATTTGTTTATTCTACGCCTATTTCGCTAAAGTTTTGGGGCCAAAACTAATGGAAAATCGAAAACCCTTTGATCTCAGAAAAGTAATGATATGGTACAATCTTTTTCAAGTAATATTCTCCACGTGGTTGTTCAACGAAGTAAGTTGCCTAGCAAGTCTATACACTCATACAGAAAAAACCCATCAAGATATTTTATTATGTTTTCTCTCATGCGCGCAGAGTCTGGTCTCGGGTTGGGGAGGACGATATTCCTTCAGGTGTCAGCCGGTCGATTACTCAAACGACCCGATTGCGCTGCGCATGGCACGAGGTTGCTGGTGGTATTACATCTCAAAGTTCATCGAGTTCACGGACACAATTTTCTTTGTATTGAGAAAAAAAAACGATCACATTAGCACTCTCCATGTTATCCATCACGGCTGCATGCCCATGTCTGTTTGGTTTGGAGTAAAATTTACCCCCGGTAAGCATATGCAGTTTCTATCTTTCATTTACATAATCGATTAATATTAATCTTCTCGAAATTTTCGAGTTTATATGTGAAATTTTATTATTGACAGTATTAAAAAAGTCATATTTTATTCTGCGAATATGTGAAATGTAAATTTAAACTTAGCGATATTATAATAGTTTAGCATTTATTATAATTATAAAAAAATTTCATTTTTTCATCACTATGCTTATTACCTAAGCAACATTGTTACGTTCACAAAACATTTAAAAAGCCAGAAATTATGTAATAAACGTATACAGAGAAAAATAAATGTTCAAAATTTGATACGGGATTTTGTAACTATTTAATAAGCGTTATAAAAAGGTTTGCAGATGTTTGTAAAAATATCGTTAATTGTTATACAAGACATTTTAGAGTTTCATAAAATCTAGTATATTTAACATTAATAACATCTACTTAACGTTTTTATTATACAAATCGTTTTGTTTAAACGTCTTTTAAACATAAATTTTCTACTTGAATAGTCTATTTAAAATAGATACTTTTCATTTTCTTTAATAGTAACGTCCAATATGGAGCCTTAGGCTTTTTTCATAGAATTAGCAATCCAAGCAGACAATTTACATTTAAAAAATGTTTAATTAATACATTTTTTATAATAAAAACATTAAATAGTCATTATTAAAATTAAATATACATACATAAATAGAAATGAGCATTCAGCCACAACGTAAAATTCGCAAAAGTCATATATTTAAAAAAAATAAAAAAGTAAACGTTTCGGTCAAATTTTGACCATCTTCAGCACATAAAAATTAATTATATAAAGAATATGCGCAATATAAAACAGTGATAATGTGGATGTTAACAATAAAAACATCAAGAATGTATAACGTCAAAAAATACGAACAGTAAAAACGCAAAAATTAGAAGTGCATGTTTTTAAGTCAAAAAATAAAATTTTTTCATGTGTATTCTTATCGTACAGTTATAGATGGTTGTGTTCTTTCAAATTGTTTGAAAATTAGAAATTCTTATTTCTGATCAATTTATATATACGGAATTACCGGATTCTAATACAAAGTAATTAAATTACATAATGTGTCAAATAAACTTAACGTGTCTAATAAATAGTAATTAAAATATGAATACCGTACTTTAGACTCACCCGTATTTTAGACGAGATCAATTACGGAATTCCAATTAACAAATCAAGTACTGCCAGTATTAGGAATCAATGTAGAAAAATTTTAATAATAAGAATACGTTAAATTTAACTTAAGAACCAACCTTAGTAATCTGCAACACAACGTGTGCACGCAATTAATAATCTGCAGCACAACGTATACACGCAATGCATGCGGAAGATATAATAATCTCATTTTTCATGATGCATCTTCAAAATCTTGCAGAGGAGAATGATGTATAGACTTCTCTGTGGTTTTAGGTCTCGTTTTAAATTAGAAATTAATTACAAATAGTTTGGTAAACGTCTCAATAATTTTAATTTAAAATATGTACAATTATAATCAATCAGGTGTCTGTTTTGTTTTTTTGCAATTTTCACCAAAACGAAGTAAAAATGAACATATTTTTACAAAACCTTTTTTCTTAGTTTATCGATCTTCTACATACTCCCGAAGTTATGATATTTAAATTTTGGATACCCTGTACAATAAAAACAGCAATTATTCTAGTAAAGTGTTATTTGTGTTAATAGCAGTATGGAACTTACTTAACTTTTAAAATTGAAATACAGTATAAAATAGTTCAATAATTGTGAACGATTTACCGGAATTTAGTCATTATATTACATTTTATGACTATATTTTTACATAAAAATATTATGAATGAATGCAAAAACTAAATTCTAAAACACTATTATAGTATCGAAGTTAAATGCTGAAAAAAATTTATTCGAGTGAAAAACTTAAGGAGAAAAACCTGTATTTTATCGAATTATTTATTATTTAAAAAAACCATATTTTAAATAGACTATCTAAGCTGAAAAATTGTACTTAAAAAATGTCTTACCGAAACGGTTTTTATAGCAAAAACATTAAATAGATATTATTACTATTTTTGACATATATATATATATATATATATGTATATGTTAAATATAATTTTTATTAATTGTATTGCACGCGGGAATTAATTTTGGAAGATATTATTATATTCAATTCGTTGATAAAATTGGTAAAACATAGCGTTGTCTCTCCATAACCTAGTCTTTATTTCTTGCAGGTGGTCATAGCAGTTTCTTCGGTTTTGTGAACACCTTTGTACACATCGTAATGTATTCGTATTACCTTCTGACGGCGCTTGGACCTCAAATACAGCCATATCTGTGGTGGAAGAAATACTTGACCACTTTGCAAATGATCCAGTTCGTCCTTGTAATGGTCCACGCATTCCAATTACTTTTCATCGATTGCAATTACCCGAAGGCCTTCGTTTGGTGGATAGGCATGCACGCTGTGATGTTTTATTTCCTCTTCCGCGACTTCTATAATGAAGCGTACAAGAAGAAGAATTTGAAAAACGCTGTAGGCAAGCAAAGGAATGAAAAGGAACGGAACGTATTTAAAGATCAAGGAGATATCAAGGAGAACATCAATGAGAAGGGCGCGATATATGCAAACCAATATAAAATAGCCACTGGTTATATCTCGGACAGCGGTCTCAGAAATCGCGTGTTTATCAATCGAGGCTTTGATGAATAATGAGAAACTTTTAATTTAAAGAGACTTCTCAATTATACGTCGAGCGTACATACGAGTGCAATCGTTATTTAAAGCACTTCGCCACATTGCACCATAGTCGCTATCCTCATGGTGTGATCGAATAAAAGTGACAAATAGACAGAGGATATTAAAATAAAAGAAATAAAAAATGAAAGGAAATGCGCATTAAACGCCTACCGGAATTTGTGAAAATCCGGTTTTAGTGGCGTTCTTTCTGAGTGCTTTGCGGCGAAGTTTTTTTACGTGTAAAAATTTTCTTACGTATATTATATGTATGAACGGGTATACGTGTGCCAATGTGTGTTTACTAAATTGTGTGTGTTGGATAGTTTATCGAGAAGCGAAAATAGAGACTGGATAAAGCGTTGTAACGAAATTGACAAAATGACTAAAAATTACTCTTTCCAGTTAGAATACGAAACGAAACTCATTCTTCGATAGATTGCCCTTTCCAGAAAGAGGAGGCCTTTAAAGGGATGATTTTTATTAATATTTATATATAGATTTATTAATATTTATATATATATATATATATATATACATATATATATATAGACCGCTCAAGAATTAATTCCGCATTTTGCTCATGTCTCCCTCTTTCAACAATAGAATAGTAACGAACTCTTGCCGCGTTTTATATCAAGAGGATAAAAAAGAAAATACAATATTTATTTTATATAGAAGCAGAATATTTAATGCGAAATTAATACTATTTTATTATTATATTAACATTTCCAAAGCATTATTATAGAATTAAAATATTGCTGTGAGTTGCCTAGGCAATGATATGTCCCAATAAGACAGAAACAAAGAATTTGTTAATTAAAAGTAAAATTCTACATGCATATTTATTGTATGTTTGGAACAAATATTTATTTATTATTATTTTGCAAGATTAAATTTTTAGAATTAAAAAATATTTTATATTTTCGTCTATAAAATCTTATTCTCTTAGAGAGTACTCCGTTTTTACTTTACATATTTCGTTAGATATTCTAATTAATATGTTCGTGAACACAGGAACACGCATGTGATAAAATACTTATGTACATATATTAATTATAGAATTAATTATATTAACATTCTTTTTTTCATAAAAAAAACAATATTTAATACAATATAAAACCTAAATTTGTTGTCATCACGTTTTTCAAATAATAAATAACAAAATATGAGAAAATAAAATGTTATTTAACAAACAATGTTCAAAAACTGAAAGACACTACAAGTCTCTTATCCCGAGCCACCAAAGTCCATTTTTCGGGGGTGCATAACTACTAAAATATAAAAAATTTTGAATCGAACGTTATATGTCCTGAAAGGCGGCATCTCCACGAGTAATTTTTCAGCCAAAAAAATTTAAAATCGGTCAAACCGTTCTGGAGATATAACAAATTATAAACGTTCCTTTTGGAACTTTTGCAGAAATCTACATTCTTATAATTTTATTTCATTAACTTAATATAAAAATTTATAACTACTATTTAAACAATTTCGCTGTGTTGTGTTGTGTGTGTTGTGTGTGTGTGACGTATAAAATCATTTAAAATTAAAAAAGTATGTAATACTGTGTATGTGTCTAATTTTTAATATCTAAAACCTTTTCATAACAAATAAAATTTTAATAATACATTAAAAATTTTATTATATTATTGGCATAAAAGTCATCCTCTTTTAGTTTGAATTATTTTTTTTATATATTTTACATGATCTTATTTATCGTAAATATTGTATTATGTTGTAATATCAGAATGTTATTATGACACAATTGAATCGCGTTCGAATTTAATATTTAAAATAATGTCTGGAAATATAATACTTACACGCCATCTTTAGTATTAAAAACATTCTTCTTAAATATCGAACTCTCTGCTGCTGATATTCCTATTAATTTTCTTTTCGATCATCTGTAGGTCAAGTTAAATCGACTGTAGCTCGCGCGAAAGCACAGCGTAAAGAACTATATACTGTATATGGCTACGGATATTTCCAACAGGTAACACACCCACAGTTTTCAACTTTATTCTATCCTAACATTGTTTAGTTTCATTCCTCGTTATGATTACAAAATATAATCGAATAATAATGCATTATAAAGATAATAATTAAAAATTATAATAATTAAAGCCTAAAAATAATATTAAAAATTTTAAAAGGCAATTTTTATTTTAATAGTGTTTCTATGTAAAAAATAAAAGATAGAGAAAAACAAATAAAATCTTAGACATTTATATTATTTAAAAAAGTATATAAACGACTTTTTTAACTTTTAGATTACTCTGTTTTGACCGAATAACATTATGACAGAATTCTTTGATTTATTTTTCATTTACCATATTATAAGTTACATTATATGTAAAAAATGTCTATGTCACTCGCAAAAAATACTTGCGAATATGATGTATTATTATACAATTGCAATTAATAATTATTAATAATACTCAGACAAAAATGATAATGGAAGTGACGTTAATTCAACATCGAAATTATCAAATTGATGTTGAATCAATGTCGATCCTATTACCATTTTTTATTAAGAAATCGCTTTTGCGCAATACTGTGACACTGCACTTTTATGAAATCAATGATAGGATTAAATGAAAATTTTGAAAAATCTGTAAGGTAATTTTAACGGTACAAAAAAAATGAACGACACGATGAATCGGTTGAGATTATCAACCATATTTATTCAAATCTAGTTTCATTCAAATCAAGGATACGATAGCTTTCCCATAGTAAAACTTTTACACGAAAAGAATGATTTTGCTCAAGTAACTAAAGAATTACCAGGATACATAATTTAGATAAATCCGGAATGTTTGAAATAATTAAAAAGGACTTCTTTAATTTCGTATATCTTTGAGATATTCGAGCCTTCCTACCTCGTTAACGTTGTATTCGGGAGAGGAAAGATATCATTTTAAATACAACATACAATTATTGGTTCGCTTGTAAACATAAGTATCGAGTATACTCATCAATTCGTTAATACTGCAGGTTAAACAAATTTAAAATTGCAGGTGGGGAAGAAATGAGTCTCTTATTATAATATGTATGTTACATTATCTGTAAGATAATCTTATACATATTATATTATAATAAGAGACCCATTCGTCTTCGACGTATTTGGTCGTATTCGAACGTGATACCACGCAACACGTGTATTATAATGTAAATTTCACTTGACAATTATTTCATTTCATAATAACTTTTAACTTATATATTGTGTGTATTATGTTGATATTGACTTCTTCTTTGTGTGTTTGTAAGAATTTACATCAAGTCTGCTAATTTGTGTTTGTGACTTACTTACACAATATACAATGAGAGAGGAGATTATTAAATGATATATTGAAGATGGCTCCAATTGAAGTTGAAACGTCTAAAATTTTGAGTCTATCTTGATAGCAATAAAAAGAATATATGAATATAAAAATAGCATGTAATTATATAATGAAGTCCAAATGTAATAGCATTATTCTTCATAATAATCAGATAAACATTAAAGAAAACCTTGCTTGTGCGAATATTCGCAAATACATACATCGAGGTTCGTTGGCACAGTTTTCACAATTTCGGTAGTAGACTTTTTAAACAGCTATTATTATAATATATATATGATTAAGAAAATGCTAATATGATAAAGACAACCTTTCTTTACATTTTCGTATCAGTAATGGGTCTATACACTGTATTATTTCTTTTTAATATATAAACGAAATACGAACATGCTGTATTGTAGTCAACTTGTTCAGATATGTAGGTTATTGATAGATATCATGATACAAGTTGCCTCTAGTCGATGATAAACTTTATATTAAATTGATAAAACTGTAATAAGTACTGATGAGAACATGCCGTAACGGTCATGTTATTCATAGATTTTAATATGTTATTCAACATTATTAAGATCCAAGATGCTGTGCGCATGTGTTAAATTGTTAGTCGCAATTTAACTCGTGATAGTACTGCGGTAGTTTATTAGAGTTTGCGTTGTAAACTGAAAAACTTTCTGAAAAACTTTCGGTGCGCATTTTTAAGAATCTACATACATATAGTATATAATTTACAAGAAATTATATATTAGAAGCATCTTGACCGTTATAGCATGTTCTCATTGGTATTTATTAATTTAAACGGTCTAATAAGATTTGTAATAAAAAATGTAATAAAAAAAGTCAGGGTCGGATTAAAGTTTTCGACGTCTTTAGGCAATGAAATTCTTGTCGCCCCCTAAACTTGCCTCCCTTAAGCAATAGGTTAGCCTATAATGCTAATATGGCACTGAGAAAAGTGTATTAAAAATAAAAGATAGTAAATATGTATTGCATAGTAAAAATTATATTTTTCAAAATTATTTTGTAATAATGATCAAATAGCAAATTATTGTTACAGAAAAATAAATTATTTTAGTTCTATTTTATTTTAATATAGAAAAATTAAATAAAAAGTTTTATCAAAGTTAAGTTATAATTGAATATTTACACGTATACGAGAATAGTACAGCGAGTCAATCTAACCTTTTCTTATACAATGTGAGCTAATGTACCCCATTCCTGCACACGTCTGATTTTTATCATTTTATAATAAATTACCATTGTTACTCAAAATAACATATATATTAACAAACACTTTTCTAAACATCATTTAGATTTGCTTTTTCAAGCCGAAGGACATTAATATAAAATTATGAAATGCTCAAGAATTTACTTGCCTCCTTTTGAATCAAATTTTTCTATTTTTCTATCGTAACACTTGTTTGATTTAAATGAAACTTAAAAAAAGTACCTATGTTATAAAAAAAAAACTGTTAAGGTAACATTTCCATTGTTACTTTTGTTATAAATACATATATAAACCGTATGCAATGCCAACTTGCCTCTTATGTCAACGAGCCCCCGCGATCTCCCATACATCAGCTGGTTAACGATAGAAAATATCGACTTTTAAAACTTGTTGGATAAGCGGGCAATCTGCCAGATCGCTATAACCGAATTCTTGCTTAAGCAGGGACAGCCTAATCGCGCGCACCTCTTCTGAGAATGGGCGAAATAGACGGTGCTAATTTTCGATGGTGAAAGTACACGAATAGTGAAAGTCTAGCAAGACGCAACTTAAAGCAGCCACCGAGTTTGTATGTAACCGCGGCCGCGTTCCGTATAAATAACTCATATGCATTGTGTACGAGATACATCATCCGTAGATCGAGTTTTTTGCCGCAGTGCATTCCGTGCGTTAATGATAAGAAATCAATACTGGACCCGAAAAAGTGTGCGGTTTTATTATGCCACTAAAACGTGAAAATATATATTAAACAATTAAGTTTTAATTATATAATGCTATACGAAAGATTTATTGGAACAGATCATGTTACAAATTTAAAAAGTTAAGATATATTAAGCATTAATAACAATTTTCTTTTATAACACATTCCTTAAATCGTTACACGTGCATTTTGATCTTGATAGCAAGTATCTGCAAATTAAATTAGCAACATGTATTAAATTTTGCGAACCGTAACAAATTATACTCTACTAACG